TTAGGAAATAATCAAGAAAGATTTTTGTTCTAGAAAGGGTTAACTAGAAACACGGCCCTTAATGTCTGGTCAAATCACAAAAGAAAAAATGAGAAAAAAAAATTAAAATAAATAAATAAATTAGGTAACTTCGAATATCAAAACCCACCCTACAGGTCAGATGTCTTATATTGCACCAGCTATTATTGGACCTATAGGAAACTTTAGGAGAGATCAAATTTTTGCACAGTTAGATCCCTGATGTTTGCCAATTCATCAAGTTGGAGCTATTTGCAGGGCGGAAAGTTGAGTGGTGTAAATGAAATTTACTTGATTATAACAGCAAATCCAGTCGGGTTAACTAATGACGGGTAGAATGTAAAATGAAGTCAAACCACAACCGTAAAATTTGTAACTTTTGCTGCTAAACAACTTTCTGTAGAACACCAAAAAGTTCAGGGGTAATTATTGTATTTCCTCTCTAAAAGTACAAAAATTATCAACGAAGTTCCGAAAATTTTGTAATAAGGCCAGCATCAGGTGCTCTTTGTAATTATCTCACTCAACTATCAACGACAACAAGGAGACAAAATCCTACCAGGACTGATATAGGTAGCCAGACCAAAATCCGCTAACTTTATTGGCGAACAAGACGATTTCGTGGCCAAGAGGATATTCTCAGGCTTCAAATCCCGATGAACAACACCCTTTTCATGACAATACAGCACCACCTGCATCAAGTGCCTGAAGATCACCTGAGCTTCCAGCTCAGAAAATCTACCATGCTTTTCCAGCTTGTGAAAAAGTTCGCCTCCTGCACAAAGCTCCATCACCAGATGCACGTAATCCTCTTCCTCGTACACTGCTTTTAGGTCAACAACATTAGGATGGCCCGATAATTCAGTCATGATCTGGATCTCGAGCTTTATGCTTTTAATGTCTTCCCGAGTGACTAATCTGTCTTTTGAAATTGATTTGCAAGCTAAAAGTTCGCCGCTAAATTTGTCCACACATTCTCTTATGACGCCAAATTGTCCCCAACCCAATTGTTCTCTGAGGATATATCGGTCACTAAGACGGGCAGTTTTGTTGGGGTTTAGAATGGTTTCCCTCAAGTCCGAAACTTTATAGCAAGTGCAAAGATTGGATGGTGGTTCGATATAGCTGTTGCTCTTGGCAACAGCCATACCGAAAGTTTAGTTCCCAGAAAATATGTGTTTTGGATTTTGGAGTTATTTCCTTGCTTGTAAGATGGAAGTCTTTTCTCACAAGTGGAAAAGAAAATAAATTCAAAAGTCAAAGAATTTGGCTTCTTCTGCTCATATGTGCATTCATGAAATCTCTGTTAGTCGAGGTCAAAAGGTCTGAAAGTAAGGTTTTCCAGCTAGCTGGTGGAGTTTGAAAATGATGGCCCTGTGGAGAAAATAGCGTGCATCTGTGGAAATATTCATGTACTCAGCGGACAAATATGCCTACAAGAGAAGAAAGGAAAAAAAAATATATAAGCACAGAAATTTTATGGATCTCAAAATTAATAACTGCAGAAGAATCCACAGAGAAGAGCAAATGAAAACGAATACATTACATAATTATTCTTGTTATAACATCAGAAATTTGAAGCAAAACAGAGAAGAAAGGGACAAGGTCAAATATTCAAACCGAGCTAAAAGTTGATTAAAGGCGCCAGGGAACAAAGACCTAAAAAGGAGTCTACTTGCACATTAGAAAACACCAATTGACACTGCTTCCAAAAACCCTAATCACGAAAACATTCCTAGATTCAAAATTGTACAAGACAAAATAATGGCAAAACCCCATTTTGCACAATAAGTGGAGAAAATAGCCACAACGTTGTTCCGCCAAAACCAGAAAGATTAAATGAACGAAATTCCAGAAAACCCACCAAATAAACAGTTTCAGATCCAGTGAATCCGAGCACGAAAATAGCCAAAAGTTGATCTTTTTAAACAAAAACAAATTGACAAGAGAAAAAAGAGGTGCCGGGACTTGTACAGAGATGCCTGACCTTGCGCCAAAGAGAAAAAAGGCAGAGATCAAATGAAAAGCAGCAGCAGAAGAAGAGGGAGAAATTATGAGTGCTGTGACCTGAAGAAGCTCTCTCTAGAGAGAGAAAGCGACCTTTGCACGGGCAAAGTTTGGTTTTGCCAGGCAAAAACCATCACAGCTACTCCAACACAATTCATAGTTCGTCTTTTATTATTATTAAACCTCCGCGTTTTATTGTTGTAATAATTTAGGCCTTGGTGGACCCGCCTAACAGCCTATTGGGCCGGGCCCCATACTCTTTGTCTTGGTTTTCTCCCGGCCGTTGTTGCTTTCATATTGTGTTTGTTTCACTTTTTATCTTCTTTTAGAACAATAGCTCAAATCCATTTTGAAATGGATAGAGAAAAATTACTTCACTCCTCGATATCAATTTTATTTATACATATACTCTCTCACTTTTATTTTCAATTATATAAACTTTTCTTAGAATATATAAAATAACGAGTTATCATTTATTGTGTTTTAATGGAGTAAATAAATTGCTAGTTTCATGTGACCGAACTTAATGGAATACGTTGTCTTTCAAAAAGCAACTAGCACGACTCCTTGCACGCGTAAGAGACATTAATATTTATAAATTAAATATGCTCATTAACTAATATTAATAAATTAAAATTATAAAATTAGTATGTATTATAATTTACTTATATTAATTTATTAAAAATGTTATATGAAAGTTCAAGTGTGCAAAATTACATAAACGTGTGTATTTAAAATTAGTACACAAATTGTACGGTGCACATAACTTATAATAAATTACATTATATTCATTTAAGAAAAAACTTTTATACAAAAATTCGATTTGACTACAATGTGATTTCATAAAACAATTATTTTGGTAAAATTTTATCGTATATTTAAAAATCTATGTGAATAATATGTATGATGAGTCTCCTCCTAGATCTGGAGTCAACCGGTTGAGATGAGCTCTGAATTGTCTGAACCGCCTCTAGATCGCCACGAACATCTGCAAGAACTCAACGCCGGAGGAATTTTCGCTGTAGAGCCTCTGATGCTTAAATCAGTATCAAGAAGAGAGAAGAGTGCTCAGTAGAGAAAGCAGCAGCAGCATATGAAAAGGTGTAGAGTGTAAAAGTTAGGGTTTGGTGTTACATCAATCATTTTTTATAGGGAAAATACCTACCTGGAATGCCCCGGGTTAACCGCCTCGATTGCCCGGTTTTGCCCATATCCTAATCACTTCTTAGTCAGATATGAGTCAGCTTAAGATTCCATCTTATTCCCTAAAGATTCATCCGTGTCCGTTAGGCGAGTTGAGTACCGAATTAACCTTAATTATCGCACACCTCGAGTTGCGATGTGTAGGAAGTCGACCTCGAGCAACAGGAGGTCGACTTGGAATTAGTAGAGATGGAATCACCATTCTGAGAGGTCATGTCCCTTGTCCCTAAGTCGTTCTTATATCCCGATGTGATAAGTCGACGTCGAGCAACATGAAGGGTGAAGTTGACTACTTGTTGTTGTCATAATAGGAGGTCGACCTCGGACTGCGAGAGGAGAACGAGGTCGATCTCGAGGTGTTCTTAACGATGAGGGGAGCTGCCATTCCCCCAATTGACCTTGATTTACTCTTGATGTTCCTTGAGCTTTCTCACTAATGTCGGGCCATAAGATTATCCTTCTTCCAAGTCGTTCCTACGGTAACAACTCGATATCCTCGAGTTCTTTTCACATACATTAGTGGACTCGGGCCATTATATCTTATTCACGTCGACATGTTGATAGTTCGACTTGTCATCCGGTCGAGATGTCAAAACTTAACCGGTTCACCCGAGTATGGCTATATCATCTTGTCCCCCCTCCCCTCCCCTCCCCCCACAAAAAAAAAATTACACTAAGCGACCTCAAGCGTAAGAGTAAATTTGGTGATGAGACGTTTCTAACATACTGACATTTTGAGTTTTTGAATTTTGAATTTTAAATTGATGCGTCGCTTCATCTTCCACCTCTTCGTATTATGTGCCTTATTTGAGTCGTTAGATCTTATCTTGATCTAAGGGTCAGTGATTCATAGCTCCTCCTACAAATACTCCTCCACTTTTATCCAAATCACTTTTCACAACTTCTCATACTCAGAATCTCTCTGCAATTCCAGCGCTTTCTGCGTCCCCAATGTTCTTCATATTCTTTGGCAAATTTCCAGGTCCTCCAACATTCCCACCGATCATCATGTGTAAGTTCTATTTTTACTTTGTGTAATTTTTGCAGTTTTCTTTGTTCTCCTGGTTTTTTAATTTGAATTTCGTATGAATGTTCTTCATGTTCTTCGTGCTCTTCATGCATTTTCTGGCAAATCTAGTGTTAGATCTTAAGCATACTTGTTTTGTTTGGGTAATTTGCTCCTCGCAAGTCGACTTAGGATTCTTAAGTCGACTTGATAATTACTCGCAAGTCGACTTAGGACCTTAAGTCGACTTGACAACTATGTCTTTCGAATCGACTTAGTTTCAATGTCCCAGTCTATTGCTTGTTGTTCTAAATCATTTCTTCAACATATCTGGTTGAGTCGAGTCAAGTAGGTTACAAGGTTCTTGTAACTCTATGTTTTATTTTAAAGGATTTACCTAATTTATTTATAAATATCAGAGTTAATTTTTTTCGCAAATCTCAACGGGCGCTACTTACCTACAAAGAACAATTAAACAAAAGTACAAACACATCAGATTAAACCTATACATGCATATCTAGCAGTTATAAAAATTAAACCAAGTATTTATTAAATTCCAAAAACAACCATAGAGTTAAAACATAATTCCAAGGTTCAATCCGACATAATCAATTTATCCAATTCAAAGCAGGAAATAAATCAAGCCGAAGCGACAGTTCATCAACATCATAAATAAGCGGAAGCATAATATAATGAGAACATAATCGACCAATGACCATCACCCGTTCGTCCTTATGCCACCACCACCAGCTCAGCTCATCCTAAAGAAAGGAAGAGGACACAACAGAAAAATAATGGGGGTGAGCAAAACCATCATGCTCACCATTATCGCACAGTTTATCTCGCATAAAGATTTTAAAACAATAACACAGTGTGCATAGAATCCAAGGTCTAACTCCCTACATGGCCCTATCGCAAACCTCCTATATACATACAACAACCTTCCGATCAAGACACGGCAAGAAAGTAACTGGAAACTTTCCCATCTACGAATACAACGGGCCTGGGATCCTCTCCAGGAGACAGTAGAGCTGTTTTTCCCCTTCACGAATATCATACGGACCGGGGCGTCCACCTCCCGAATCAACTACGGGTCGGCGACCTCTCAATGTTTATGCATTCCTCAAAGGCACTAACAAACGGGACACTTAGACTAGGGTTCTCACGCATACACAAATTTTTGAAAGAAACATCTATACGAATAATGAGTGCGGAAATTGTAGATACAACTTAAATGTACCCACCTGGTTGAAGCAACAAATCACGAATACAAGTCTCGAATGCAGGGTGAGGTCAACACCTCAAAATAGCTACATTAAGTCAAGATACTACAATCAACATTTTATCTTGACCTAAAAGGAAATCACAATCAGACTTAGTCGAACTTGATTCAACTAAGTTGTTCGTGAAGTCCTGTGGACATTGGGAACTCTTGGACTTGGACTCGACCAAACCAAATATGGAAGTTCACATAATTTCACATAAAAGGGTAATCCAAACAAGTCACAAGAATAACATGCAAGCCGGTTCTCATATTTTAACACAATAAACTACATGATGAAATAATTGCCGAGAAAATCACATATTCAAGATGGTCCAGCAACCCAAAGAGTTAGGCTCTGAAATTTTAACACAAAATTTACCTCACTGGACTTAGTCAAAACCAAATTTCAGCCCTTAACTCAAAACACACGATTTTATAAAATTCAAATAAGTTTACAGCAAAAACGAGCATAAATTTACATCCTGACCTAATGTACGAATTAAGACTTGAAATTTATACACCACATCCAAATATGACAGAGAAATTCAACCATTTTGGAGCCCAACTAAATTTATAATGATTTTTCCAAGTTTCTGACCAGAAATCAAAATCGATATTTAGAATAGCTACAGAAAGAGTTTGAACCTGAAATTTTTACACAAAGTATA